CCTCCTGCCTCAGCCTCCCCAGCTGCTGGGATTACAGGCAGGCACCACCGTGCGGGCCCACCAGCCTTTTTTATTTTTTTAATTGAGACAGGGTCTCACTAAGTTGCCCAGGCTGGCCTCAAACTTGCAGTCCTCCTGCCTCAGCCTCCATGCCCAGCATGAGGGGGACATATGTTTAACTATCATGTGTACCTACTGTGTGGCAAGAACTGTGCTCGGTGTTGGGAATACAAGAGTGAGTGACACAGGCAAGAATCCCAGGCCTTGCAAAACTGACCTCCTCTTGGGGAGGGGGAAAGAGAAATTCAGTAAACAAATTAAGTGAGCAATTACAGTGGCAAGTCAGGGACACAGCAGGGGCGAAGAAGGAAGAGGAAAGGTCAGAGGACAGATGAGCAGCAGTGGACCTCTGGGAGTAAATGAAGTGAGAGCTGGGAGCATCAGGTGGAACAGCATTCTGGGCAGAGGGGACAGCCAATGCCAGGCCTTGAAGTGGGATCACAAAGGTGAGTTTGGAGAACAATGAGAGCCCAGTGTGCCAAGTTGTCCCCTGATGACAGTCAGCACTGCAGTCACTGAACACCTGCTGAGGACAGAAGTCCAACACAGTGCCTTTTCTCCTCTCCTGCTTACTATTATTTTACAGAACAGTGAGGCCCAGAGGGCAGGAGTCTTGCTGGAGGTCAAGTGGCAGGAAAAAAGTAAGCACTTCCTCTGCCTGGCTCCAGGGCAGTCCAGCACCCCCCCCCCACACACACACACACCACCAACCTGCAGTCCAGACCTGGAGAGGCACTGGGACAGATGTGGGCCAGGCCTCCACTCACTGGGTGACCTTGGGTCACATTCTTGACCTTCATTTGTAAAGCAGGGGTGAGGATCTGTTGCCCACAGGCCTGGTCTCTGTGGCTGCCCTTGAGGATACATGACCCTCGCACACTTCACACTCAATTGGAGATTTATTTATTTTTAATTTTTTTAGTTGTTGATGCATTTTTATTTTTATTTTTTTATATGTGGTGCTGGGACTTGAACCCAGTGCCTCATACATGTGAGGTGAGTGCTCTACCACTGAGCCACAACCCCAGTCCCCCAATTATAGATTGAAATCAACTTTCTTTATTGATCACATGCTGTGTGCAGATTCTCCTCTCTCTTCCCAAGCTCTTGATGTACTTTCTTTTTTTCTGGTAATAGGAATTGAACCCAGGGGTGCTCCACCACTGGGCTACATCCCTAGTCCTTTTATTTTTTATTTTGAGTCAGGGCCTCACTGAGTTGCTGAAGGGTTCCTATCGCCTCAGGCGCCTGCCTCCCCCAGTTGCTGGGCTTACAGGCTGCACCATTGTGTCTGGGATTAATATACACTTTCTCATTAGATTCTCCCCCACACCCAGTGGGGTCAGCCCTGTGACTGTCCCCATTTTACAAATGAGGAAACTAGGGCCTGAAGAGTCTAAGTGACCACACAGGTAGTAAGATGCAGAAAAGAGACTTCTAAACCTGTCTGCATGACCCCAGAGCCTTCATGCTTTTTTAAAAAAATATTTATTTTTTAGTTGTAGTTGAACACAATATCTTTTTTTTTTTAATAAAGAGAGAGGGAGAGAGATAAATTTTAATATTTATTTTTTAGTTTTTGGAGGACACAACATCTTTGTTTGTATGTGGTGCTGAGGATCGAACCCGGGCCGCACGCACGCCAGGCGAGCGCGCCACCGTTTGAGCCACATCCCCAGCCCCACAATATCTTTATTTTATTTATTTATGTGGTGCTGAGGCTCAAACCCAGGGCCTCGAACGTGCCAGGCGAGCGCTTTACTGCTCAGCTCCAGCCCCAGCCCCAGCCCCAGCCCAGAGCCTTCATTCTTAATTATGGGCCCCCTCACGCCAGGGTGTGCTGTCCCTGAGGTGCAGAGAGGCTCTGCTCCTGAGTGACTTAACCTTTCAGTACTCTGGTTTCTCATCATGACATGGGGCCATAATAACATTAACAACAACAGTAACACTCCTACCCCAGGCTGTTGAGAAGATTGAGTTAACATTTCTAAACTGTCCATAGCCCTAGCTACATGTGACCGTTTACATTTTAATTCATTAGCATTAAAGTTACAAGTTCGGTGCTTCAGTGACTCTGGCTACACTTTGAGAGCTCAATTATACTACATGTATTGCCATCACTATTAGGACACTTCTATGCTATATTATTATCCTATCATTTTATTAAATACAAAATTATATTCATTGCTGTTAAACATTAATGGATTAATATTATTATTATTAAATTTTGCAGTGCTGGGGATCAAACCCAGAGCCTGGGGCATGCTAAGAAAGTGCTCCACCATTGAGCTGGGTCCCGACCCCTGTGTTGTTAATGTTTATAATCCTAGACCTGTTGATCATGATTTGATTATTACAAATATCTGATTTTTATTTATCTTCACTCTTAATCCCCTAATAACTCACAGTAACTATTGCTATTAGTTAGACCGGCTGACCATTGTTATATTGATTGTTCATTAGCTCACTTCTTATTGATCCGCAGCCTGTTGACCTTTGTTGATGTCAGCCGTGGCTGTCCTTGTGAACGACGTGGCTCTGGTGGCTGGGTTGATCCGGAGCCGGGCTGAGCTCGGCAGGCGTCGGTGCGGTACCCGCCCTCCAGGCTCTGCACGGTAGGAAGGAAGGGCGTTCGGACCCGCTGGTTTCCGGAGCCTCCGGGGCGTCGTGGGAACCGAGGGACCCGCCGCCCACGACCTGCGCTGGAAGCCCTTTTGCCTTTCTAAGGAAAAACCCAAAGTGAGAAGTCTTGGGACCAAGGAGAACACCGAAGAAGAGCCTGGGTTCTCGTGGGGCCGCTGAGCGAGAAGCGAGGAAGGAAGCCGGGTCGGGCCTCAGAGAAATCTGGCAGGCAGGGAGGCTTGAACTGTGATTAAAAAGGGGAAGAACCGCAAGTCCCCATTTAAGTCAGCAGAGCTGCTGTCTGGGCAGCGAGAGGGAAAGTGCTTGTGGCTGGCAGGTTTCGTAGCCAGTTGGCAGAAGCTGAGTACCTGGCTGCTGCATCTGTGCCACCTGGCCTGGGGTGCTGCCCTCGGCCTCGGTCTCCCTAAGAGTAATGGAGAGTTAATAACTGGGTGCCAGTTTAGACTTTCTTGATACCTTCCCCCCTTGTCGCACAATGTCAGATGTGGGAATGTCACAAGGACACTTCTTAATGGGGGTGTCAGCTCCACACTTGGCAACTTGAATCCAAAATTCAACAACAGGTTCTTCTGCTTAAAACCTTTCTTGGCTCCCCCTGCCCTCGAAATAATTGCCAGACTCCCCGCCAAGCCCTTGAAGACACCTTGTAAAGGGCCTTCCTCTCCATTCTAACCATAGGGAAGGGCAGATCTCTCTATTGCCTTTTTAATTTCCTCCAACTCACTAAACATATTCCCACCTCAGGACCTTTGTACCTGCTGTTCCTTTATCGGGAATACCCTTCCCTCCACTTTATCTTGTCTGGATCCTTCTTGTTGGTAAAACATTAGCTTCTCAAGAGATGTCCTTCCCAAGCTCCCAAAGACAGTCTCCACCCCCTCCATCCTGTAACTGTTATTGCCTTCTTCATAAGTTACCCTTTTAATGCGTACCCTCACCAGAATGCGAGTTCCATGAGGGAAGGGACATTTGTTTATTCTCTGCTGTGTCCCTAGACACCATGCTTGGCATATAGCAGGTATTCAATACCTATTTGTGGAAAGTACGTTTTTGTTTTTTCTTCAAGGGCAGTGGACTCTAGGAATCCTTCCGCAGACCAGCTCCCTTCCGCCCATCTGTTGAGTCTGGAAATCCCCATTTTCTGGGGAACCCCTTCCTGCAGCTGCAAGGGGAGGACTTAAGGAGCACCTCCTTAATTAGCATGAGCCAAGTCCTGAGCTAACTGCTTTAATGCATTCACTCATTTAATTCTCCCAACAACCCAGTGGGCTGGGGACACATACTATTTCCACTTCATTCAGATGAGGAAATTAAGGAATGGAGAAGTCAAGTCATTTGCAGTAAGGGGGAGGCAATAGCCCGGGAGGAGCCTGCTTTCTGGGAAGGGTTGAAGTGGCCCCTCCAAGCTGGGGGCGTGGGCGGTTTGTTTCCTGTTGGGGGAGGGGGAGAAGAGCAGACATTCCTCTCTGCCCTCCCTCCCACGTGTCCGGGGGGAAAAGGCTGGCTGAGTATGCTCCATAACACAGCAAGGGACACCCCACTGTCCATTACAACCCCATGAAGCCATAGAAAAAAGGTAAGTGGCCCGGTGGCGTGCAGAGCTGAAGGCTCAGAGCGCAGCGACGCCAGCAGTCCGGGAGGGCTTCTTGGAGAAAGATACACCCCTTCTGGAGAGGGGAACAGGTGGCCGGGTAGAGGCTGGTCAGCACGGGCTCGGGCTGGGGCCACGGCGAAAGCAGAGCTGAGAATGGGGACAGAACCCGAATAGGGAAGGTTGGCGGGCGGGCTCGGCAGAGTCGCGGATAGTCGGGGCCGGGCAGGGCTGGGCCCCCTCCCCGGGTGATGATGAAAGCTGCGATCGCTATTGCACTGTCGGGCCGGCGGACGCCGATAAGGCCCAGAGGGAGGGAGTCACTAGGGGCGCGTCCCCCCCAGGCCGGGCGGCTCCGCCCCGCCCCCGTCCCACCTGGCCCCGCCCCCGCCACGCTTAGGCAGTCGGTATCTAGCAGGCGTCAGGTGGGTGGGGCCGCCCCTCTGGCAGTCTTTTCTTTAGGTTGCGCGACAATAATCCGGTGGCCCGGGTGTGGGCGTGGCTCGAGGAGGCCGCGCCTCTGCCCGGGCCACGTCTGGAGACCCCTGGACCCGGCGGGCCACCAAGGAGCGGAATCGGTGGGTGGGGCCAGGCCAGGCCCCGCCCCCTGCCGAGCCCCAGGCCGCTCGCGGAGGACAGGGGCGTGGCTTCCCGTGGCCCCGCCCCGAGGCCGCCCTCCCCCGCGGGCTCGGCGCTAGCAGCGGGTTCCTTTTTACATAACGGCGCGGGGCGGCATGGGCTCGGTCCACCGCCTCTGCCCGGCCGCCCGCCTGGACTGTCGCGGCCCGCGGAGGCCACGGCGGCGGCAGCAAAGTTTCCCCGGTGGCGGTCCGGGGGCGCATCCTCCCGCAACCGTCAAGCGCTGGCGGCGGAAATGATGAGGCGCTGGCCATTTTCCGAGCCCGGGTTTCCTGCCTGAGTCCCGCTCCTGAGAGCCGCGAGCGCGGAGCCGGCGCGCGGGAGCGGACGCGCCCGGGGCGGGGGCCCGCCCACCCCCTGGGGACTTCGGGGGGCCGGGGGCGCGCGACGCCATGGGCAGGCCGGGCCCGAAACCCGTCTCTCTCAGGTAAGCGCGCCGTGCGCTCCCCGAGGCCGGCAGGGCTCGGCGGGGATCAGGAGGCCCGCGCCCAGGGCTGCCCGGGTTCTGCGCACGCCCGCGGCGGCCCCACAGACAGTCCTGCCGCTAACTTGACGGAGGAGTCGGAGGGCGCGTTCCCGGCCCCGGCGACGCGCCCCGGCCGACACCCCCACCCACACACGTGCTGGGCACGGAGCGGCAGCTGGGCGCTGAGGGCGCCGAGAGCGCGCAGCCGACGCCTCCGGCCTCCCCAAAGCCGGTCGGGGGATCGGCCCCAGCTGGTGCCTCAGGAGAGGGTTGCGCGGTCGCCGCGCCAACTGTGAAGTGAAAGTGGTCCAACGAGGCTGTGAGGATGGGCGAGCCCCTCCCCATTTTGACCTCAGGCCATGCACTAAGAAGGCAGCAGTCCAGTTCAGGAGACCCCCTGTCACTCCTAGCACTGCCCAGGTGGGTTTGGCCAGGCGCCCACGCACCACTAAACTAAGGGTTCAGTGGGTTTGGGGATCCCAGAGCATGGGATTCTCTAAACTGGGAATCCCCCCACCAAAACTGAGAGGATGTTGGGCTTATAGGTCAGCGTTGCCCGAGGGTATTTCAGGGGACTTTGAAAGTCCCTGGTGCAGAAAACCCCTCCTTCCTTTCCCCTGGCCAGAAAGCTTTTTCTTGGAGGGGGACTGCATTTAAGGAACTGGGGAGGGGGGTCTGCCTGCCTGTCCCACTTCTTTTTTTTTTTTTTTTCCTTCCTAATTTCCTCATTCTCCTGTTTCTCTTCCCCATTCCCGGGCCACAATGATGTAGGTGAGGAGGTCATTGCTTGCAGCTGGGGGACTCCAGGGAGGGGCATGGCTAGGCTGGGCTGATGGGAGGAAGTGAAATCTTGGGTGGCTGGGGGGGGGGGGCAGGCGGGGGCTTTGGAGCAGAGGGCCTGACACGGCAACATCTGCAGGGCCAAAGTCCAGGTTTGATGACAGGAGGACTGAGATCTGAACCACAGACCCTTGGCCGAGAAACGCATCCTCAGATACCTGGCAGCTGCCAGGCTTTGCTGGGGCAACTGGGCCAACCAGCCTTTCATTTACAGTTGGCCTTGGGGCCCTTGCCAGGGAAGTGGGCATGTGTGTCTCTGGGGATGTGGGTGCAAGTTGTGTTTGGATTTCCCATCACTGACCTGGTGGCCAGAATAGAAACAGCTTCACAGTTTCCTGGGAACCTGCAGGGCCTGTGGACATAATGGGGAAAGAGCAGACAGAGGCCACCTGGGCAGACTGGACTCCGGGGATGAAAGACCAACTGAGGCCCATCAGGGAAGTTGGAAGAGTTTTTACTGCACTTTTTCTGAGCCTTTTCCCACAGCCCCCCTCTGGGAGGGAAAATTCTTCTGAGCCAAAGGATGAACATTCCTACAACTTGTGTGAGTCCCTGTGGGGCACACAAGCAGCCAGCTGGGAAGGGGCCGGTCTGAGGACCTTCAGGGCTCAGTGGTGGCAGAGGAAGGTCCGGAGGCTGAACTTTCATTCCCCCTCTGCCTCTTTCCAAGCTGAGGTGGGCAAGTAACCCTGTCCACCTCAGTTTCTTCTTGTATAAAATGGGGTAATAACAGGTTTGCAGAAAAGTTTTAATGAACCAGTGTGTGAAAGGCACCTGCTGCCTGGCACAGAGAAGGGTTCAATTACATGCAGGGGGTTGTTGATTTTGTCATTACCATCAGCAGTGTTATTGTTACTGGTGTGAAACGTTCCCTGTCAGCTGCATCTCCTGCACTGCCCTGGAGTTCCTCCAGTCTTGGGAGAAGAATTTTGAAGACTTGGGCGAGATGAGATGATAGCACTTCCTGGCTAAGAGGTCTTGCTTACCGTCTATGGCCTCAGTTTTCTCATCTGCCAAATGGGTGTGGTAAGAGAACCTACTCCTTAGGATCACCGGAAGCATAAATGAGTAACTTCATAGAGAGTTTAGCGTGGCATCATCAGGAGCAGACTAAGGACGGTTTGTTCTTTGTTGGGGAGGTTAGCTCTACTTGATTTTCTTCCTTATCCCCCTGCCCCCAAGCCTCTCAACCCTGGGCTTGAACCTCCTTCTATGAGAAACAGACCTTTCTAATCAGATCCTGTAGAGCTATTCCAGCAGCCCTCAGTCTGTGGTGGCCTTCAGGTGCCTAGGTCCAGCTGTGCCATCCCAGAGTTTCTCCATCTCCAGGGTGGAGCATCATTGGGGGCAGAGTCGCAGACACTTGGAGGGACCTCTTAGCTCTCAAGCTCAGGGCAACCTACCCCTGGTGAGGGAAGATAAGGTGTCCTATCCAGCCATGAAGGGCTCAGTGAAGGGGATCCTGGGAACCTGGCAGAGAACTACCCCTAATCTGGGCCAAGACTATTCCCTTTGCCGAACAGGTCTTTAGGGACCAGTTTATATATCCCCCACACCCTTATGGGGTTTTCCTGAGGCTCTCCCATTGCTGGGAATCCTTGTGTGGGTCACTTCATCTTTCTGAGGCAATTAAGTCAGTTTCTGTGAAAGATTTTTAATAGCTATGGAGCTTGATGAGAGGAGGCATATAAAGTGCTCAGTTCTGGGCCTGGCACTCGATGACCAACAGTAAATATTAAATGAAGACCTTTCCATTCCGTCCCCCACTTCTCCCTGTAGCAGATGGGCTGTGGAGCAAGGTGGTCTCTGCTAACTTCACTTGCCATGGTGAATTATCTGACTTCTGCTGGGATCTGCCCAGTGGAGGCCGAGGGTCTTGGTCACTCAGATGGTTGTGGGAAGTGTATAAGCCTGGCGTGGAATATGGACATGGAACTGTGTTGGCTGTGGTTACGCTGGCAGTGTGATCTGGGTTGTCAGTCTCTTTAAGCTACAGGTCTTGTCTGTAAAATGGGGTCCTAATGACTATCTGACAATTGTTTTGCATGCAGTCAGTGCTCAATAAGTGCAAGCTACTGCTGTTAATAATGTGTGTGTGGGGGGGCATTTAATTGCCAGGCTTCCTGGGAAGAGGGTCCCCAGGGCCTCTCCCAGTGTTGAGCATCTTTGGCTGGATCAGGTAGGAAGCAGCATCCATCTGACAGAAGGGTCCTCAGTGTCCAGTGGGGCTGTGTGGCCACACGCTCCCAGCCAGACCCTGTTTCCTCTATCCCCTCTCCCTGAAGAAACAGGTGGGCAGGCTGCCCAAGGGAAGTGACTCAGCTGGGGTCACTTGTTGAGTCAGGCCTAATTGGACCCTGTAGCCCTGCACCCCAGTTTCCAGTGGCTTGAGGTCCCTTGGGGACTGTACAGGTCCCCAGGTCAGGCAGGAGATCCTTGGTCACAGCCAGGCATCCCTTACTTGGGCCCCATGGCCAATGCAGCCAATGTTCCTGTCAGAGCTCTGGGTCTCACTGGCCACCTCTAGGCTGGGTGTCCTTCCCTGCAGCAGGGGCAAGGGACACTTCCCCAGGGAAGCAGGTCCTCCTGGAGGCCCTGGGCAGCTCTGCCCTGGCCGGAAACCCAGCAGCTGAGCAGATGGCTGGAAGATTTTTCCTCCCACGCTACCCTGTCAGGGGTCGTCAAGGGGGGGGGGTGGCCTGGCTGCAGGCTTCCTTGCAAGGGAGCCAGGCCTGGAGCCCCTGGGGGCCCTCCCGGATGTGGCCCCCCCCAATGGCTGTGGGAGGGGTGGGGAGCTGACTGAATGTCCCCAGAGAGGCCTGGGAGGGAGGAAGTCTGTGCCCTGCTAACAAGCCAGACTCAGGCGCCTGACAGGGCCTGGATGCAGGAGGCCAGGGAAGAACAGGATCTACTGGCTGGAGTGGGGGACATAAAAGCCTTTCACATGGAGTCTGTTCCTTCAGACCTTGCCTCGTGGTGTCCTCTCAAGGAGGAGAGGCCCAGAGAGGGCAATGTGTGTGGGGAGAGGTGCACAGGAACAGAGGCCTGAATGCCCTCCTGGCTTCCTGAGCCGCATGCTGAGTGGAGGGGGGATTGCTGCGGGTTTACCCTAGTCAGGGTCTCCCCTGCCCTCAACCCCAGGGCAGTTACAGGAAGAATCCACGCCTTGTGAAGGGTGGGAGTGGGAGGTGGACTTCAGAGGGTACTACACATCCTTGGGGAATGGCCCTGACTTTCCCCACCTCTCTAAGGCCGAGGCAGGGCGGTGGCTGGCTGGGGTGGCAGGCTGGGGGTGGCAGAGGAAGCCAGAGGACATTTCCTGTTCTAGCAGACTGTGCCTGCCTGATAAATGTCGCCAGGGAACTAGGTGACCCCGGAGAGGAGCATCAGGGGCCAGCTGGCTGCCCCATGGTCTAAGGCAGAACCCACCTCAACCTCCACAGGTGGGCAAAGCCCCTGCTTCCTGGGGGCTTCTTCGCTGTCTCCTTGAATGCTGAGGGAGGTGGTGTGTTGAGTCCTTCAGCTCTCTGAGCCTCCTTGGGTAGTTAGTGCTGCAGTGGGAAAGATAGATGTTCTCGAGGCCTAGGGTCAACCTGAGGGCTTCCTAGAAGGAGGTGTCCCCCTCTGAGAGTGAGACTTCCTGCCCAAATATCTAAGAGCTGGGGCAGCAACAAGGGCTCTTGACTGGCTCTCTATTTATTCAGCAGTGCTGGGGATCAAACTAGGGGTACTCTACCACTGAGCCACACCCGGCCATTTTTCTTGATACTTTTTTATTAGTTGTTGATGGGCCTTTATTTTATTTATGTATTTATTTATTTATATGCAGTGCTGAGAATTGAACCCAGTGCCTCACACATGCTAGGCAAGTGCTCTTTCCACTGAGCCAAACACCCCAGCCCTTTTTATTTTTTTGAGAGAGGAGATAGGGTCTCCCTAAGTTGCCCAGGCTGGCTTCGAACTTGTGATCATCCTGCCTTAGCCTCCAGAGTAGATGGAATATAGGCCTGCACCACTGCGCCCTGCTCGGACTGGCCAGTTTTAACTTCACAATTTAGCTCCCAGCCCTACCCCCCAAAGGCCTGGTAGGTGGCATTTCCACAGGTGGGTAAAGGCTTTCT